TATATATAGAGAAAAGAAAAGAGACATTCATATGGTATTTATTTGTAAGTTTCTGAATATTTTTGTATATTCCAAATTGTGTTTGTTTACAAAGAGTTCATCAATTTATATAGCCCTAAATCTATGACCGGAAAAGGAAATACAACAATATTGCCTAATACATGTTTAATTCCTAATATACACAATACCATATATACACAATATATTCTTACAGAGGCTTCCCAAATGTTGCATCATATTGATCACTTAATTACTTACTAGAACAAATTGATCCCCAAGTAACTCTAATTGGGGTTTGTCAAATTCTAAAGAGAAAATTCTAATATTCAAAATAATAGAATGGTTACTCACAGTTGAGATAAACAAGAGCCAGAGTGAAAAGGAAATTTAACAGAAAAACATTCCAATTGAAGCTCCTACACCAAGCCAATACCAGTATGCTTCTGGAAATAACTCGTGAGACTTCATGACTATTACTCCTAATGATTCTATGGAATTAGCAAGAACCTATAACACAAATATTTTCCCAAAGTTTAGTTTTAGTTTTAATTTTACGTAATTTATTTAATTAGTTATTATTTAATTTATTTAATTAGTTATTATTTAATTTATTTAATTCATTATTATTCATTATTTATTCATTATTTATTTTATAATGCTTTTATTTAGGTTTTCTATAGTCACTACTAAAAAAAACACTTTTTGCGACCGCTATAAACCGTCGCAAATAATAAAAAACAGTCGCAAAAGAATTTTTGCGACGGCCCATGCGACGGCAAATGGGGGTCGCGAATATGGGGGTGGCAAATACTTTTTGCGACGGCAAAACAGCGGTCGCAAATTATTTGCGACCACCTAAACTACTTATGGCGACCACTATTTTGCCGTCGCAAAAAACAAAGAAAAACACTAACATGATCTTTGACGACCATCTTGTTACCGTCGCAAAAAATTAAAAATAAAAATAAATAAATAAATAAAAGTGTAGCGTTAAGCACTCTAGGAATAAGAATGACAAGAATTCAAACAGTATAGCATTATAGTTTTATTGAACATCTATTTGAGTCTCAAAATTTGAGCCATATGTAAAAGTTATTACAACTAAAAACTTGAAAAAAGTTCTTTTATGAAAAAAATACAATCCAGAACTGGCCAATCTTCTCATCAATTTTTTTGCTCGGGTGTTTCTCCACTCTATCAATGAACTGGCATAACACCTTGTACTCCCCAATGCAAGAAATGAAAGCAATATGACGAGGGGAAAAGCTCCTTCATTTACATGCATTTGTTCTCCATTCCATAGTAAAAAAGAAATACTTAAATCTTGATATGTTTCTCATACTAGAAAAGGCATCCAAGAGTTTTTCAATCTTGAGTCGATTGATAGAAAGGGACCACCGACATATTATCAGTAGAAGACATAAGAAACTAATTGATGCACCTTCACTTTCTCATCTCGAATATGCTCAGGTGTAAGAGAAATAGACTTCTCCATAGCAATTAGGCAAAGAATCTGCAGTTGGCAAGAATATATGTCTATTACATCTTAAAGAAAAATGATAAACAAATTGGAGGGACTGATGTGAATAAATTTATATATCTATCATTTTAATATTATCTACTCTAACTTGATTTCATGGCCTCACCTGCAATAGATGATTTTGAATAATATCATGAATGATTTTGCAAAAAGAAATGATAAACAGATTTAATAACAGATTTTTGCAGATATACATTTCATTGTGTAGGTTTGGCTACCCGTTCTTTTGCTCATATGCTTTCGATGTGGGATGATGAAGTCAAGGATTCCCCCCACCAAATCCACCTAACCAAGAGTTCCTAAGTTCAACAACCATTTCAACTTTATTTGGAATCTGATATTTTTTTCTAGGAGCTAAGAGCAAGAGAAGCTGCTAAAAACATGGATTTTGCTTCAGCTCAGTTAAAGCAACCATATTTTTGGTACAAAATTCAGAAGTTCATATTCCTTTTGCTCAACACTGGATATGAGGCATAATAATGTATTGGCCACACATGGAGCAATATTCAATAGAGTGAGAATGTTAATATTATGAGAACAAAGGCAAAATACTCAAAATGCAGGTGCAAAATTATAATAGTCTTTTGACATTCCTTAATCTCAGAGATAAAATTGAAGCTATTCAGGAAAACTCATCATTGGAGATGCTAAATATGTAGAGGCACTAACTGAAGTAACAAAAACACAAAAATGAACTTATACTAATTCCAAAATTTTCCTGCTAAGATAGAAAGAAGCTAATGTAGTAGAAGATCCTACAAATCTACAGAATTATGTGATTAGTACCCTTTCATTTGCATTTGGTTTGACATCTTTTTACCTACCAGACTTCCCAAACAAAGGTTTTAGCCATGACACTGTATACTCCACTCGTCAGTTTTTTCTGTCAGTTTTTTCTATCTTTTATCGTACTGCTCTTCTACCACCAAACTAAATTATGTCATAAGCATGCTTATCATACATTTTGAAATGACTTCCATCTTTTTCTAAAAGAAAACAAAGAACATTTAGCTTTTATTTATTTATTTATTTTATCAAAAAGGAGGACATTTAGCTCTTCTATGGTTGAATTTTCACAAATCACCATGAACATACCCAAGACTACATTTCATCCACAAATGACTGAGCTTACACCTTTTCCTTTACACTTTGTTCCATGTGTTATTTTCCTATCTTACAGTTAATATTTAACTAAAAAGATAGTTGTGAATCCAAAGTTGTGAATCCAAAGATCCATGGATTTACAAAATGTTGTGTTTTGAAGACCTAAACCCTCATCGTCAAACATGACAGCTTCCAAAATCAAGATATGACTAAAGTATCCATTGAGCTCAAGGAACAAAATTTTGTTACGTTACCATCAAAATGGTTGAAATATTTCCATTTCCCAGGATCTATAGACCTTAAATATGTTTAATTATTTAATTATTGGGCTCATATGAACATTTATATTGGCTTTAGTATTATTGGGCTCATATGAACATTTATATTGGCTTTAGTATTATTGGGCTCATATGAACATTTATATTGGCTTTAGTATTATTGGGCTCATATGAACATTTATATTGGCTTTAGTATTATTGGGCTCATATGAACATTTATATTGGCTTTAGTATTATTGGGCTCATATGAACATTTATATTGGCTTTAGTATTATTGGGCTCATATGAACATTTATATTGGCTTTAGTATTATTGGGCTCATATGAACATTTATATTGGCTTTAGTATTATTGGGCTCATATGAACATTTATATTGGCTTTAGTATTATTGGGCTCATATGAACATTTATATTGGCTTTAGTATTATTGGGCTCATATGAACATTTATATTGGCTTTAGTATTATTGGGCTCATATGAACATTTATATTGGCTTTAGTATTATTGGGCTCATATGAACATTTATATTGGCTTTAGTATTATTGGGCTCATATGAACATTTATATTGGCTTTAGTATTATTGGGCTCATATGAACATTTATATTGGCTTTAGTATTATTGGGCTCATATGAACATTTATATTGGCTTTAGTATTATTGGGCTCATATGAACATTTATATTGGCTTTAGTATTATTGGGCTCATATGAACATTTATATTGGCTTTAGTATTATTGGGCTCATATGAACATTTATATTGGCTTTAGTATTATTGGGCTCATATGAACATTTATATTGGCTTTAGTATTATTGGGCTCATATGAACATTTATATTGGCTTTAGTATTATTGGGCTCATATGAACATTTATATTGGCTTTAGTATTATTGGGCTCATATGAACATTTATATTGGCTTTAGTATTATTGGGCTCATATGAACATTTATATTGGCTTTAGTATTATTGGGCTCATATGAACATTTATATTGGCTTTAGTATTATTGGGCTCATATGAACATTTATATTGGCTTTAGTTTCTATTTCCAAATAATTCCATATATTCCCTTTTTTATTTTTTCCTTGTGTTAAAACATTTCTGAAACATTTCAGTTTCCAAGCGAACTTAAACAGCATATCGAAACAAAATTTTGATATAAGAGAATGCATTAGGAAAGGGGATAATCAACTACGTTCAAGATAAACTAAAACAAAGACTCTTAATCATTACCTCTTATCAACAAGGTCAGTTTTGTTCCCAACAATGACAATTATAACGTCACTGCCCCGTTCAGTGCGAACCTGCTCAATCCATTTTGTGGTGTTCAGGATTGATTGCCTTCCTACACCCCCCAAAACAAATTATCACAAGTGTATCATAGAAGGCATTAAGTCAGAAGAGCAAGCAAGATGCTTAGAAAATAAATTTGAATTTTTATTTTATTTTAAATAAGCTGCATCTGTTCAGGTGGCTGTAACCTATAACACACCATTTTTCAGTCACAACTAATCACAACTTATCTCTTTGTGGGAGCTTTTAAATCTAAAAACCATTTTAGTTAATGTACAAGTTCCATTTACAGTTTCATAGTTTACATTAACATTAACACTAATTAAAAAATTATTATTATTTATTAAATGAAAAAATTAAGATATAAGTCATTTATTAAATGAAATGATAAACAGATTGAATAATATGGCTACCTTATTCCTAGAAAGCTTCAACATAGAAGTTCTGGCAGCTTAGGGCAGCAAAAATACAACATCAGACCACTCTCTTTATAAGAAGATTGGTGGATCATATAATTCTATCCCTAGAAAGCTTCGACATATAAGTTCTGGCAGCTAAGTGCAGAAAAATACAAGAAGATGCAGATCCAATAATTCTATTTCAAATGATGCTCAAAAAGAGATGCCATCTCGATCTACAACATACCTATTCATTTTCTTTTGAAACTTGTTGCCCACTAGATGCATCTCAGGCCTTGGTTCCATAAGTAAGACATGTGTCGCGCCATTAACAATCACTCTATAGGATCAGTTCGCACAATCACTCTAGAGGATCCAAATGCATTGATTGGGACCAAAGGCTTAGTTTAATTTGGTTACTTATGGCTCATGTTAGAAAATGTATGTATAGACTTAAAACCCTAAAAAGTGTAATTCTTAAAACATATTTATCATTTTGATATCATTGTCGTAATTTTTGGTCAACTTCAAAAATTAGTAATTGAAATAGTGTAGGAAAAATGGAAAAAAAGGATCTTTGGATAGATTATGGTCATTTATGATAATATTTAAAAGATGACATGATTTTGATGTATTGTTGATTTTCTATAGATATTTGAAACTAGTTTTACTTACTATGGCTAATTTGATGTATTTTGATCAGATTTCATGCCATGAATGCTTAAAATTATGTTTAATATATTAAAATAAGTTCTTTTTTTTTTATTAGGATTTAAATAGTAATTTTGAGCATAAAGGGTAAGCGGGTTATTTTGGCACTTATGACTAATTTAGTAAGACGGTTGCTATTTATCCATACCGTTTTTCTTAGAACCCCCCAACTCCTATATTTTTTTAATTCCAATTTTGTCCCAACATAAAATTCCATTTTTAACCATATCACTAATCTTCAAACCCTAATTTCCCAAACCCTAACCCTAACTCTTACCCTAATCTCAATCCCATCCTTATCACCTCAGGCAGTCACCACCACATTCGATTGCCACCATCCCCCTTTTCCCACCTCCAGCCGCCTCTATCCGATTTCCTTACACCACTCTCAGTCCTTATTTTCATACCTCCATCGCAACCCACCCCTCCCTGTCACTTCCCAATGCCGGCAGTCACCATGACCTCCCTCACCGCCCCTCTCTGACTTTCCTCCACCACTCTCTCCTCTTCATTTTCCACCCCCGCAGTTTCTCTTCCTCTTCTTTCAATCAAAGAGCGACAATGGTTGCATATCTAGGGTTTGCTTGTGCAATGTGAATCGAGAGAGAAGAGTCTCGCGATGGTAGCAGATGGACTGCTATGGCACAACGACTGACGATAGTGGTTGGGTGTTGGTGGCGAAATCAAGATTGAGATTACGAGAGAAAATGGGGCTCACGATGGTGGCATTGGCTATGGGTTTGGTAAGAGGAAGAAGAAGATGAAGAATGTGGGATGCGGGCTACAGTGGTGAGATGGTAGATGAGCTGGAGTGTCACGCCTCGATATTTCTATACCATTTTATAGATTACCAAACCATTACTATTACCCAATTCCATAACATTAATGTGAAGAAGAAATAAAAGACAACAATCTTATGAGCTAAAACTCATCAAACAAATTCTTCATTAAGGTACTTACATTAGTTTACAATACACGGAACTATAAAATATACATCAAATTGCCATAGGGGTTTACACTTTTCAAGGCAAAAGGCCTTGATCACAACAAAACAAAGTCCTATCTTGGCAAGTAAGCTAGATAGCTGTAAACAAAGTAACATCAAAAGGAGTTTTAGTGCTCCATCTAGAACTCCACTTGCATTCCTCGTCGCTCGAGGCCGTTTAAATTGCTTTACTAGTTAGTTAGCGTAGCTAATCATTCAATTCATTTTGTAATATTTTAATTAGCTTAGCATAGCTAGTTATTCAATTGTGTTGTAATAAATAATTATCTAGAATAGTTAATTAGTTGTTTTGTAATAATTAGCTTAGCTTAGCTTAGTGTAGCTTAGCTTATTCATTCAGACCCTCCTTTGTGAGGGTGCAATGTTGTAATTAGTGTACGTGTGTGTGTGTGTGTGTCATCGAACCCCACGTCTTTCTCCCTTTTATTTATCCACTTTCGATGGTTAGTTTAGGGAACATTTTCAATTAGCATACCTTATGCTTGCATGTTTGCATCATTCATTTGTATTGCATGCACTGAGGCTCGGCGCATCATTCAAACTGCATTGTATTTCAACACACTTATTTGAATACGTGTTTCAAACCATGTTATCAAATTGAATTAAATCATATGCCATATTAGTAGCTGAGCCTATTAATCGCATTATTGCATGTGTTGCATTAGACACTTAACATAGTCAGGATCATGCATTTTTCTAACTAGCTTTTTGTTTTGACTTGGAGTATTCGGTAAGCTTTTACGCTTTGACATACTTGCATAAGTGTGAGTGTTGCTATGATAGCATGCTTACCATGAGGCTATGTGCTTATATGATTAACTGCCTAAATGCCTGTGGATGAAGGCTTTATTACTTGAATTGGAAC